GGAGCCGATTTGAACCCCACCCACGGTGATCGTTGTGGTGGCCGCCCGGTGACGTACCTACCTGTTCCCTTAAGGAAGGTCGGGTAGAGGTCCTGACTACCGTGAGAGCAGAAATTGAACGCCGACGTGATCAGGACCATGTACAGGAAGAGCACCCAGTTTTCCTGAAATGCGCGTGTCCCGTCATAGAAGAACGTGCGCAGACCTGAATGGCTGCCCTTGTTAACTTCCTCCGTTGAAGATTCGGCGCTCGTCATCGCCTCTTGCTCAGCTTTCATGGCTATGAAATGGTTGGTTTCTGCCAGATACCAGCGAAAGATGATGAGGACGACGGGCGGCCCTGCGGAGGCCCAGAACAAGCTTCTCCAGCCGTGCGGTGTAGTAGGCACAAATGCACTGTACAAAGTTGCGGAAATCAAATATCCCAACGCGTATCCTTGTTGGAATAATCCGGACATTATACCTCTCGCTTCATACGGGAGGTCCTCAAGAGCTGTCGCGGCAGCTGATCCGAATATGCCTAGCAGTGAGAAATGTGAAAAGTTAGTGGTTAAACGCGATGGTTTCGAAATATTCGCCAAACCTGCAGGGAGGTTTCTCTTATATATTTACCTCCCATGGCAATGCCGTATAAGGCCCGGATGGCCAGGAACTGCCGCATATTAATAGCGAACCCGCCAGCCAACTCCAGAACCACGAACAGAACCAGGTTGACGATCGTCGGCCATTTCCGTCCATAGCGGTCTGCGCAGACTCCACAGATGAACGCCCCCGCAGGGCGAAGCATCAGCGTTACCGTGATCGCCTGTCGCCCGAAAAAATTGTGAGAATAATGACGAAAATTGCCAGAACACGAAGGTGTATGGGTTTTCGGGTTTTCTTTTCGTTTTTATTTTTATCACACAGGGCTTCCTTACTAACCCACGAAACATCAGAGTCATTGACCTGAAATGCCTGCGCAATCTCCGTGACACATAAAGAAACCACGAAAAAGTCGACGCCGGCCCAAGTCCATGAGAGAAACCCAGCTGAGAAAAACAGCCATTGTTGCCGGTTTAGCTCGCGAATGATATGATATGGGTTTCTCAACTTGGTCTACAGAAGCGGAGAGATGTTAGCCTTAGCATGGCATGCTGTTCTCATACCGATATATGAGAGGCTATAAAAGAAATGCGTGATGAAGGTGTATTACCTCTGGCGGCTTGAGACTCGAAATCCTCGACGCGCAATACCGTTTTATCTGAGCGGGCGAGTAGAACCACCCAGATGCCATATGATTCCTCATCTTGAATGTTGGAGCATATGGTAATTAACCCGTTTACATCTTCTCCCGCATCCGGGTGCTGAAACAGAAGCCTCAGGTATGTGAGCGCTTAACGAGTGTGGGTCATTTACCAGGGGAAAAGGGGCGGTTCAAGTTGATTGATCAAAAGAATGGAATGACAGGTTCATTAATTCCATACATCCAGTCTAAATTTGTGCGTCCCTTTTCTGCCGTGATCGCTAAGTCAAGTACAAAGCTATCCTTTAGATATATATATATACTATCCTTTAGATATATATATATATATATATATATATATATATATATATATATATATATATATATTTCATCCAATATCCTCTCAAAATTCGGGAATGAAGGGTTATTTATGGGAAGTACGGGAGCAAGAAATAGGCAAGGCAATCCATGTGCGTCATCGGGGAACCCTCCATGGGCACGCTTTTCATGTTACCAGGCGTCACGCCATTCGAGGGTATGGGAACGACCAGGACTATTCAAGGGCCTTTACTTGACTTTTACCCGCAACCATACCTCCCTTTTCGAAGAGGCGAGTGGACTTTTGGAAGGCCAAATTGGGCACGGCCTCAAACTCAATGCATCTTCTCCATGATGTTTTGTATGAAAATGTTTACTATACTATCTAGTACAAGCTTGCAAAAATATTATTAGCTCACGAACCTGCCCACACTATAGCTAGTTTGTACCACCCATGCTAATTTCGTATGGGGAGGTACTTGTTAGGTTAGGTGTTCATATAAATAGAGGTACCACACGCCCCACTCGCCACCCGCCAGGTCAATACTATTCAGGAGGAACATGCAATTCAATGGAACACCAATCAGCCGAATTATGTGTAAATAAACCTACCTAGATATTTTTGAGCATTGGGCCTAGACTGTTTCCCCAGGTGTGCGTTTGTTCACTCCGCCTAAGAACTATTATAAAGCGTAAAGTACTAAGGTTTAGCATGGCCTGGCCCACTTGCCGCCATGGTCCAGGCTGAGGTCCGCGCACACCCATCTAAAATGCACCTACGGAGTACAGCGTTCGGGATACTTTCCACACACTCAGTCCCCTTGCACCATCTAATCCCGTTGGGCTTATCTACTTTGCAAAAGAGTTTCACCCAATGAAACACCGCTCCTAATCCCATGCGTCGTAATACCTTTTAAACGGTTTTCAAATCACTAAAATACCAATTAAGAACGTTAAGAATTATATTTATATACAAAAGCTGGTGTTAGTCAATTATTTACCTTGGCGTCATCATGATCAGGGTCGGCGTCAGTCAGAGACTCCCTCCCATCTGTGCTTCATGTGAACTGGACAGAAATTCAGACCAACATGCAGCGTTTCACGAGTTTCTTGACCAAACTAAGCTGAGAAAGGAATATATTACTCCGTACTGCATATGTACATATACATATAAGGTGAACGCAGTGGAGAGGCGTTTCGCAGCTTGTTTCAGAGAATGGGACAGGGTCGCCAAGATCTATCTTGTCAAATATTTTTAGATAGCTACCGGAACGTTCAAAAAGTGATGAACTCATACCCCTTTATAATTCTCGTGTTGAAACTTAAGTGGGGATTTGGCAACTTAATTCCAATAAATTTTTAACATGCTAATTCCTCACATATGACCAGTGGCCAGGGCATCAACGCCATCCTCCTGTCAAATCGAGTTCAATATGAACCATGGTTAAAAACCACGCATATTGCGTCATTAGCAGGAAAGCAGAAACTGGAAGAAAAATCGCAGATAGGCCAACATAAAACAAGCAATAGCAAACATAGATTCAGAGAAAATAAAGAGTTTAAAAAAACACACTAAATGATTCCAAGCCATTTCTTTCTGGGTTGAGGCGTAGCCAGGCCACCAGATGGCGCAGAAACTGACTGGACACCCGCTGGTGGCGGCTGCGGTAATGGTGGTAATCCGACCTCATCATCGTATTCATCATCATCATCATCATCATCATCATTATCATCGTAACCATCATCATAATCATTATCGTGATTCTTTAGAGGATGCCGTGCCATGTGGTTGGGGCCCTCCTGTTCGTATTTCTGGCCAGAAAGGCTCTGACCATGCCCATGGCTTTGTCCTTGGCCCATATCTTCAACTGGCTGGATGAGGGCTTCACTCCCAACTTGTTCCTCATTACTATGCTGCTCAGCCTTCTTCCTCCCCCGACTAATCTTCCACCAATGCTTCTTCACCCGCGGCTCACTCGGTTCGAAATCGCCCTCGAACCGCAGCGCAGGTACCAGCACTCGATACGGATGCGTGATTCCCGCCGGGTCTCGTGGGTTCGTCTCACAGTTCAACGTGATATCAAGGCCCCCTTCCACATTTATGAAGTTTTTCAAACGGAAGGCTCCGCCCTTTGCTTCTTCTTTTATTTCCTTGGCCGATAGGTCCGTACGACGACGGAGAAACTTATTTGGGTGTCGCGGTGGTTGTGTTGTGTCGTCGGTCTGTTGGTTTCCGGCCGTCATGAGTCTTTGGGGTTGCGGTGGGAAGTAACTATCTCTTGCGTGTGTAGCGGTAGAAGGGGAGCCGTCATAGCTCATACGGCGTTTCTCGAATCCGCGTAACGAGAGTTTGCGAGATGGTGGCGGTCCGCCTCGCTGAGATAGTTTCCGAAGCAGAGATGAAGGTTTTCCATCGCCCCTAGACAGGGATAGGGATCTCATCAACTTTCCAGGGCGGTTCTCCAGTAGACTGGGAGGTTCCGATTCCGTAGGTGTCTGTGGTGGAGTAGACCCTGAAAACAAGCTATATTAGACGAATTGAATTTCACTCACAGTAATTACATCAAGTTTTATTAGAAGACTCACCAGGAGTATATTCTCGAATAGAACACCAGTTCCTTCTGGGAAGGAGGCGTTTGTTGCTTCGCGACTTTCCATCAACATCAAACGCAAATATTTCTCGCATGTCCTCCATCGTTTTCGTATCCAGAAAGTGAACCTTGTTTCGTTTATTGAGAGCATCCACCACCATTTCCGATGCGGGTGCATTAACAATCGACGAAGATATCACATTAGGTATATATCTGTAGTCCTGATCTTTGGGGATTTGTAGCTTGGGGTTGGAGTAGAACTGTCCAATCGCTGCGACTTGAGCGTCACCTCTGTGACTGAGTGTTAGTCTTTGGACACAGACTAGATTTTATGTTAGAAAAGCTCAGGCGTACCCTAGGATAGTTATTCGCACAGATTTATCTGCAGCGAGTTTTTGGAGGTCCTCGATCAGCCAGCTACGCTCGAGTTTATGTGCTTTGGAGGTCCATTGGCTATCAATCGTTTCTGTATCCACATCAAACCTATCTCTGAGGTTTCCAAATATTCCCGCCCGCCCAAGTGCTTTTACGGGATAACTCGCCCGACTCGAGAAAACATTCTCAAGCCACGCCTAGCAATGCTTGTCGTTAGCACTGATCTATTCTAAGTGAAATATGATAATTTTGCTAAGAAAGGAGTGCAACAATACCAGGGCGTGGATACGCAATAGGAACACTGAGAACCACGATCAAATGTTTAGTTTCTCCTTTCATTAATTGGTCATCGCAGCGATTGAGTATGAGGTCAGCGGAATCATCGATAAGCACGCCGTCTCTCTGAGATAAACCGATGTCAGTTACAACATGAACAAATACTTAATACGTTCAGGAGGCATATACCGTTCG